GTCAGCCTCACCTCAGTCCCTGGGAAAATCATGGAGCAGGTCCTCAAGGAATCCATTTTGAAGCACTTGGAGGAGAGGAAGGTGATCAGGAACAGTCAACATGGATTCACCAGGGGCAAGTCATGCCTGACCAAACCGATTGCCTTCTATGATGAGATAACTGGCTCTGTGGATATGGGGAAAGCGGTGGACGTGATGTACCTTGATTTTAGCAAAGCTTTTGACACGGTCTCCCACAGTATTCTTGCCAGCAAGTTAAAGAAGTATGGATAGGATGAATGGACTATAAGGTGGATAGAAAGCTGGCTAGATCGTCAGGCTCAATGGATAGTAATCAATGGCTCTATGTCTAGTTGGCAGCCAGTATCAAGCGGAGTGCGCCAGGGGTCGGTCCTGGGGCCAGTTTTGTTCAACATCTTCATTAACGATCTGGATGATGGGATGGATTGCACCCTCAGCAAGTCTGCGGATGATACTATGCTGGGGGTGGGGGGTAGATACGCTGGAGGTTAGGGATAGGGTCAAGAGTGACCTAGACAAATTGGAGGATTGGGCTAAAAGACATCTGATGAGATTCAACAAGGACAAGTGTAGCGTCCTGCACTTAGAATGGAAGAATCCCATGCACCGCTACAGACTGGGGAGCACTTGACTAAGTGGGAGTTCTGCAGAAAAGGAACTGGGGATTACAGTGGATGAGCAGCTGGATATGAGTCAACAGTGTGCCCTTGTTGCCAAGAAGGCTAACGGCATATTGGGTTGCATTAGTAGAAGCATTGCCAGCAGATTGAGGGAAGTGATTATTCCCCTCTATTCTGGTGAGGCCACATCTGGAGTACTGTGTCCAGTTTTGGGCTCCCCACTACAGAAAGGATGTGGACTAATTGGAGAGAGTCCAGCGGAGGGCAACAAAAATTATTAGGGGGCTGGGGCACATGACTTATGAGGAGAGGCTGAGGGAACTGGGCTTATTTAGTCTGCAGAAGAGAAGAGTGAGGGGAGATTTGATAGCAGTCTTCAACTAACTGAAGGGGGGTTCCAAAGAGGATGGAGCTCGGCTGTTCTCAGTGGTGGCAAATGACAGATCAAGAAGCAATGGTCTCAAGTTGAAGTGGGGGAGGTTTAGGTTGGATATTAGGAAACACTATTTCACTAGGAGGGTGGTGAAGCACTGGAATGGGTTACCTAGGGAGGTGGTGGAATCTTCATCCTTAGAAGTTTTTAAGGCCCAGCTTGACAAAGCCCTGGCTGGGATCTTTTAGTTGGGGTTGGTCCTGCTTTGAGCAGGGGCTTGGACTAGATGACCTCCTGAGGTCTCTTCCAATGCTATGATTCTATGAATAACAACTTGACTACTGGTACCTGTAACTGATTTTTAGGACCCTGTGTGAAGTTGCATGGTTAGTCACCCTGGCAGTTGGAACTAGTGGAGTAGAGGAGTGAAGATGAAGCTTTTCTAAGACAAGAGAGGATAAAGGTGAGGCAAGTGATAAAACAGCCAACTTGGGAGGAAGATCAAGCTAGAGAGTTTATGCTTGTGGTTCTTAAATTAAAATAAAGGAAAAGTATGGGAAGCAGGGTGGAGTAACCAGACGTGTGTACATGTGCACCAGGCTGAGACCCAAGAAGGGATTGTATCTATATATCTACAGCAACATGACAGTTATTTACGACGTGAGGAATGCAGGCAAAGAGAAGGAACTGCTCTCCATAAACTAACACACTGCACTGAATTGTGCATGGCCTAACATTCAAATAATCCTCTTGTTTGTTTCTTTTTGCTTATAAAACATTTTGCTTTGGTTTTCCCATTCGATAAGGTTTTTAAAGGGTGGAGATGGCATTTTTTGCGCCATTGTGGAGCAGCATGTTCTAAAGAGTTGAACAGCAGGACTCAGAACTAAGGATTCTTGGATTCTAATGCTGCTCTGGCATTGAGTTGCTCTCTGGTCTTGGGAATGTCACTTATTTTTTGCCATGCCTTACTACTTTCTCCATGTGAAGAATGGGTATAAGACAGCTTTCTTATATACCTCACAACAGAGGTGTTGTGAGGATTAATGTTTGTACTGTAATGTAATGTAGTAATGTCTCCATTCTTAGCTTCAGGCCGCACAACAGCTTGGGCCCAGTGTATCTAAAAGAGCCCAAAGCTGCGGGATGAAAACTGTGGTCAACAGCTCTGCCCTGAGCCACAATGGAACTTTTTTCCATAAGGCTTAAGATCATCTGTGCGGGAGACAGAGCTTTCTTGGGGGCCAGTTCATGACTTTGGAAGGAAGTCCTCCAGGAACAAAGCACCATCATAAACCTCACCATCTTCCGCTCCAACTGCAAGGTGCACTTCTTCAGCTTGACTTCTCTAACATAAACACAGAACTGTGGGGGGGGGGAAAACCCCTACCAAAGGAAAACACTCCACTGCATGCATAATTCTCTCTTTGAGGAGGGGATGAGAGAGGGAATGAACCACATGTGAAAAGAAGTTAATCATGCTGCTCTATGCGTAACCGGAAGGCACGCCTACACTACGGTGATCAGGACCAGCTCTAGGCACCAGGTGCCTGGGGCGGCAAATCTGAAGGGGCGGCACTTCGTCTGCTCTTGGGGCGGCACTCCGACTCTTTTTTTTTTGCCCCCTTCTTCGGCAGCAGTCCGGCGGCAGCTTTTTCTTTTTTTTCTTCTTCGGCGGCAGTTCGGCAGCAGATTCTTCTTTTTTTCTTCTTCGGCGGCACTGCTGTGGCCGCTTTTTTTTCTTTTTTCTTTGCTTCACCACTTGGGGCGGCAAAAAAAGTAGAGCTGGCCCTGACGGTGATGAGGGTGATACAAGAACCTAGATAGCCTAGAACAGAAAAGACAGCATCTTTTTCTGTTTGTGAATTGTAACTGAATAGGGCATGATTTTTACAAATTTGGTCACTATTTATAATTTGTACATTTTTTTTGTGTCACTGCAGAGGTTTTTTGAAAAAACAGAGGGGAGGGACATTATAATTTTTTTTAAAATCCCTGCTTCTTCATCAAAATTTGAAAAATTTCAACCAGCTCTACAGTTAGTTGAAAACCTGTGGGAGCAGAAGGAGCCCTGGGAAAACTTTGTCAGTTTTTTATCGATATTTGAAATTTCAGTGGAATTCTTCAACCCGATCTCGTGAAAGAGGTAGATGAGTCAGCATTTTGTGTACTAGCCTATCACAAGGCTACCTGGAGTCTCTCCTCTACCCAGAATCCCTTGGGGAAGTCACTTAGCCTCTTTGTGCTTTCCTTCCCCATCTGTAACATGGGGATAATAGTGCTTTCCTATTTCACGGGAATGTTGTGAGGATACAGACATTCAAGATTCTGAGGTAATGGAGACATATAAGTACACCTCTACCCCGATATAATGCTGTCCTCGGGAGCCAAAAAATCTTACCGCGTTATAGGTGAAACCGCATTATATTGAACTTGCTTTGATCCGCAGGAGCGTGCTTTGATCCGTCCCCACTCCGGAATGCTGCTTTACCGCCTTATATCTGAATTTGTGTTATATTGGGTCGCGTTATATCGGGGTAGTGGTGTATTTTAGATAAACAGAATGTTTTCCAGTCCTGTTTGTGAACATAGTGACCTGATCATTGTCTAGCTCATTTGGGCCCTGACCTTGCAAACATCTAGGCATCTGTACACATTGTAGCCAATGGGGGTCCAAAGAGAAGCAAACTTACGTAGATGCTTATGTGTTAGCCAGAACAGAGTCCTAATTATCTGTGTCAGAAGTCTGGCCAGGGGGTTCTGGGAGCAGCTGTGTCTTTCCCCCATCTCATATACAACTCACACTACTAATTCTCTCTTCAACTAAAGCCAATTTTTACTACATCCATAATGTGGTGTTTAATTATTTCTCATTTATATGTGGGGCCAATGAAACACTTCTGGGACACAATAAAATAAAATGCAAAAGTAATAATCTCAACTTGCCCAAGAGGTAAAAAATGACAACAGAAAGACCGTCCAACCCCCACAAGAAAAACAGATGACAAAACCCAAGTCCTCAGAGTAGGTCTGAGACAGGCCTTCCAGAAGGATCAGCAAACTCAGGCTTTGTCAGACCAAGTTCGGGGGGAAATTCAGAGTTCAGGACATTTCATTGAGAGTGCCCTGCATCCACCACCCAGATATACAAGTCTAAGGACTGCCAGCATTATAATTAATACAATATATTATTTGTATTGCTGTAGTGCCTCGAAGCCCCAGCTGTGATCAGGGCCCCGTTGTCCCAGGCACTGCACATGTATGCATATAACACAGTGTCCCTGCCACAAAGGACTTACAATCTAAAAAGAGAAGACAGGCAAAGGCTGAGAGAAAAGAAGCTTAATTATCTCCAACATTTAGAAGTGGAGCTGGGGCACCCAGACTTGCACAAGCTGACATATGAAGTCTGTGCCTTCATAGACACAGAATAAGTGCCTTAGCCAGATGACCATATGAGATCAGCACTTCAGCCAATCTCCACTCTTGGGGTAAAGTCCAAAGACAAGGATGGACTCAATGGTACTTAGAAACCCAATCCATAAATGGATTTAGAGATCTAAATAAACAGGTGGACAGGCAACCAGAAAGCAGAATGGAAGCCAGTACAATCTTAGGTGCTCAGCTGAAAGATGGTGCCTGTGTGAAACACTGCTAGGTAAGTGGAAAGACACATTCTGCATTAGCTGTGATATGGTACATCTGAGTTTACTTAAAAAAATCCTACCACAGAACCGTGTGTATATTTGTGCAGCGGATGAGGGTGTGTGTGTGTGAGAGAGAGAGAGGTCTGTGCTTTTGGGGCAATATTTGTTCTAACACACATGCATTTATGCTGCAGTCTAATGTCAAATGTTTGTGTCCTCTGTATACTGGAATCTACAGTTGTGTTAACTGGCACATGTTAAAACTGGACTAACATTTCCAGTGCAGACATACCCTTGGTGTTACTGAAAGAAACTCAGAACTGTACTTCCCTTACTTACTAGGCAAGATGATGACATCCTCACCAGGGGCGGGAATGCTGTGGTTGTATCCACCCCAGCCTTTTTTCACTCCACTCCATGATTCAGGGAATGACCATTTCAAAATGATGTCAGGAGGAGAAACTGGAGCTAGAAAACAGGATGGACAAAGAAAGATGTATTTGGAATTGTCATTTGTTGGGAGTCCTAACCTTTCCTGGATAGTCACAGATCCGTGGTATGAACACCCTATTTGTGTTAACTGATTTAGGGTATGGCTCCACAGCGATCAGGAGTTGTGATCGCAGCATGTGAACTAAATTTCATTGAGCTAGCTTGCTAAAGATAGCAGAGAAACCATGGGAGCATGGCCAACAGCATTAGCTAACCACCTGAGTATGTATCCATGGTCCTGGCGGGTTATACTCAGGCACTGTGCTGATTCAGTTTCACTGCTATTTTTAGCAAACTAGCTAGATTAAAACTAACTCAGGTATGTCTACACATGCTGCAATCACACCTCCAGATTGTTGTGTAGACATACCCTGTCACTCTAAATGCCGCTTTGCTTCTGAATAGAAGCACTGGAGGTCCCATGAAAACGAGAGTTCTCCTAAGAGTTTGAGACCATCTCTGCAGACCCAAGGTGGTTGGGGAAGGTCCAGACAAGCATTCAAACTCTTTAGTGCTCACCCAAATCAAGGCAAAGCTCTAAGCAATGAGAGGTTCCCCTATGATACTTACACAATCTTTTACGTTGTCAAAGTGCTTTACAAACAGTTATTTTATTTCTTTGTAACTATATAACAGACTCCAGGAACATCATTCTGCGTGCTACTCTGAAGCCTAAAGCATCACCAGTCAGTGTGAAGCGATAGCAGCAGCTACAAGCATGACTGAGAGCCCTTTTTGTGCTGAATAGCACCCGGTTCAAATATCCCTGGGATTTTCAGTCTCTACGTGTCCAATTTTTAAATTCTCAGCTATTTTCAGCATTTTTAAACACCCGACTTTATGAATTATACCTGTGTGAGAGCATGGGCTTTCGGCTTGTAAGGTTTATCTAACAGCCATAAAAGCATTTATCCAAATCTCTCAAGACCTTTGAGACATATTTAAAGCACATAAATAGAAGGGAAAAAAAAAAAACCCTAGCAATCTCTCCTCCCCCACAAAACCAGAATTTGCCCAGTGAGCCAAACCATACCCTACCAACAAGTGTCTGGTCTCATCGCCTGCCTTCCTACCCAAAAGCCAGGAAGCTAGATGGATTCTGTAATATGTCCTAAAGGTCAAAGGATCTAGGCTATGTGAAAATCAACTAAGCTCTTTGGAAGCAAGGACTTTTTTACTATATATATATCTGTGCAGCATGTAGAATAATGAAGGTCTGGGGTGAAATCCTTGCTCCAGGGAAATGGCAAAATCCCTGTTGACTTCAGTGGGGGCCTAGATTTCACCCTTGATCCAGACTGAGGCTTCTAGGCATTTCTGCAATACAAATAAATAATGATTATAATAATCCTGTGAGGTAGGTAAGTTTTATGAACCCTTTTCCACAGTATAATGAAGGCCAGAGAAGTTGAGCCCAACTTACAGTGTTAGCTCTCTGGGGCAGGCTCTGGCTTTCTGTTATGTGTATGTACAATGCTTAACACAATGGGGCCCTGATCCCTAGCTGAGGCCACTAAATACTACTGCAACACAAATAAACAACAGTAGACTACCTAGCAACTCTGTGGCAAATCCAAGATTAGAACTCAGTAGGTCTTCCTTGTTTCCAGCCCTATCCTTTGGTCTATTATGCTGTCTGGCTCAATGTGTAACTGCATAATAATGTCATGCTATTATCCTAAGATCACTGTGTAGCACTAAAATACATTGTAGTCTTACATTCTCCATGACCTTTATGATCTGATATGGTATTTCTTAACAAAAGTTTATAGTCTTTTATAATGTGGAATCACACATTCATCATATGCAATGGTAGATGTGGCTCAATAAAATGCTTAAATGAATGCCAAGAGCCCCTTTTGGGCTGACAGATGTACAAAACATAGAGGTGATGTACAGTGACATTTTCCTGGAAACCTAGTAAAAGGAATTGCTGTGGCTGTTAGACCAAACCAGTCAGCCTGAGACCATCACATACCTGGTGCAGGTAGAGGGATTCTTTCTTCTCCTTTGAGTGTTACTTGGACTAGGTCTTCACCTGTAACTGAACAGAGAGGGTGCATGGGTTGTAGGCAAACCCCATCAGCAACTGAATGGAAACTAACAAAAGTAATTAGACAGTAATCTCTGATACAATGTTTTCTGATCGTTCACATTTCTAACAACAAAAGGTTTCCCAAGTACCTAGCCTGGTTGATCCTTTTTCAACCATTTTTCTTCCAGTGTTTTTATAAAGAAATGAATACGTTTTTGTTTGTAGACACTGAAGGGCTCTTTGCACATTACCAAAAAAAAAAAAGCTAAGAGCAGATATACAATAAACAAAAGCCGCAGTTGGCATGCCAACTTCATGTACCCCATTGTAAAACTAGAGTAGCTCTGTTGACTGCAATGGCTTTACACTAGTGAGTTACTTTGGATTTACAATGGGATAACTGAGATCAGAAAGGGAACTGTAGGTTTTGTTCATTGTATGTATGTACGTTCTTGGAATCTAAGTCAAGACTGGATGCCTTTCTAAAAGAGATGCACTAATTCAACCATGATTTATGGTTAGAGCCAGGAATTCTATGGCCCGTGGTATGTAGGAGGTCAGACTAGATTATCATAACTGTAACCCCCTCTGCTAGGTTTTGTCAACAGCAACAAGGGCTCGGTTCATCTATTGAAATTAATACCCCACTAGCTTGAACTCCTAGCCAGCATTTCTGGGATCACTTAATACGTTTCTTGGGTGCCCTTAATAGGCAATACTTCCTACTCGCAAGCACTGAGTCTGTATATGAGGAAAGGAGCACTTCATTAGGGGGAAAGGGAACACAGCATCATCTTGGGGAAACACAGCAACCATGTATCTAAATGAATGACAAGTAAAACACTCCCCCATGGTTGTTGTTGGCATCCTTTCGTCTGCGAGAGACCGTGGGAATTGCAGCCTATGATGTAATTTGCAATGTCTCATGTGACTGAATAGGCCAATCCGAGATTTGCATGATCTTTGGCAGTTATTGCAAATGTCTGTATCTTGGTTGGGAGCTGCTTGCTTCCTGCGGGCTCAAGCCAGCTCCCGTTATGGACTTTGATACCCTCATGGAGATGTGACGCCACTTGTTATGATCACTTTCCAAGATTTCCCATTGGTCAGGATCAATTCCAAATTTCTTCATGTCTCACTTCAATGTGTCTTTTTAGCGAAGTTTGGGATGTCCTGTTGTTCTTGTTCCCTCTGATAGTTCCCTGCATAGCATGTCCTAGGGCAGTGGTTCTCAAACTAGGGCCCCTGCTTGTTCAGGGAAAGCCCCTGGCAGACCGGGCCAGTTTGTTTACCTGCCGCATCCGCAGATTCAGCCGATTGCGGCTCCCACTGGCCGCAGTTCGCCGCTCCAGGCCAATGGGGGCTGCAGGAAGTGGTGCGGGCCGAGGGACGTGCTGGCCGCCCTTCCTGCAGCCCCCATTGGCCTGGAGCGGCAAACCGCGGCCAGTGGGAGCCGCGATCGGCCGGACCTGCGGACGCGGCAGGTAAACAAACTGGCTCGGCCCACCAGGGGCTTTCCCTGAACATGCAGTGGCCCTAGTTTGAGAACCACTGTCCTAGGGAAGGCATCCATCTTCCAACCTACTCAGATGGCCCAGCCAGCGCAGTCATCTTTGCTTGAGCAGGGCTGTCACAGATGGTAAATTTGCTCTTTGAAGAACCTCTGCGTGGGTGACTTTATCTTGCAATTTAGTGTTGGGTATGCAGTGTAAACAACATAGATGGAAACTATTAAACTTTTTCTCCTCATGAGCATAAGTTGTCCATGTTTCCCCATCATACATGAAGACGCAAGCTTGGTACACTGGCATTTTGGTCTTGATGGTATGCTTTGAGTTGTTCCATGCTCTTTTAGTTAGTCTGCTAAAAGTGGTGGCAGCCTTTCCAATGTGAACATTTAGTTCTTCATCCAGTAAGAGGCTGGTGATCACTGTGGAACCTAAATAGCTGAACTTTTGGACTACTTCTAGCTGGCTTGCATTTAAGGTAATTGGCGGATCTTGTGGAACCCTCTGTCCTAATACAACTGTTTTCTTGATGCTGATGGTGATAGAAAGGCCTGACAGGTACTTGAAAGGCAGCCCATGACTTCTTATAATAGATCTTCATTGTGACCTGTAGAGTTGGTATTTGGTTCAGTGATTGGTTCAGTGATTGGCAGGCGATGTTTCTTTCTTGTGCGTATAGCTCTGAATAGTGTTCATCCCAACAAAACAACTGCTTGCTTTTATCTGTAATGATTTCACCTCTGTGCAATTTGAGAGGGGCAACCTTGTTGACAGTGGGACCTAGAGCTTTCTAAATGAATGACAAGTAAAACACTCCCCCATGGTAACTTTGGCAATAGTTTTTTAACTTGGTTCCCTACTTGCCAATGTGAATGTCCAGTAGGCAAATGTCCTTTTACCACATCACTTCTGTCTTCTCCCTCCGCTAAACACAACTCACGGTTTGGTGTCAATGGGTAGCATAGTCCCAGAGTACTGACGTGCACTTTGGCAGACCTGCCTCCAATCCCTTGCAAAATCCTGCCAGGTCCTGTCCTGAGGCTCCACCACTTAACCCAACTACAGTGATTTCAGCTTTATTTGGTTGATGGGTAGGAAGAACCCTACCAGAATTTACTCACCTCTGCTGCTATTCTCAGTGGCTTCAACAAAGAGCCCTCTCTGCATCACATCCCCTCAAGAAGCTACCTTGTGGGTTTCAGCAGAGAATTGTCCTCACAGTACAGGCTCCTCAATGAAGAAAAATCAGTAGTAATGTAGGTCCCTTGAAAAGACCCTTATTACTAAAGAAAGATGTGAGCCCTTGCCTCAGTTCCAATTCTAAACCAATTCTGAGTGTGTGTACAGTTATGGTGACTCCCAAGTATCACTGGAGGAATTCTGGGTAAGAAGCTTATGCAGATGAAGCTCTCACTGTAGCCACAATTCCCACTGTTCACCAATAGAGGGGGGAAGAGAGCTTCTTCTCCTTTGGAACTTCTGTCCATTTCAGTTCTGAATAAATAACGTATGCAGATGAAGCAACTCTGTGGCCATTCTTCCCCCATTCACCAGACAGGAGCAAGAAGCAATGGGAGTGCATGTCACCTTGTACTTTACTTACCTTATCTTTAAACAAGCCTTTGTCCTTTTAAATTGTGAGAGCCACTCCTCCTTACCTCCCTTCCCATCTCCCAGTGCAACCAAGCTAATTTAGAATGTCTGAGCTCCATTAATTTTAAGTGTCAATAAATTAGTGGGAATAATCAAAATACTTGATTCTTTCTGATAATTACTATCTGATGTCAGTTTAAAACACTAGATTGAGTTAGGAGCATATGCTCCTATGCCGAATGAGGCTTCCATAATTAAACAGAATGGGATTCCATGTGGGTTTTCCCATGCCTGATTAATTCGTAATCAGGTGCCACAACCCTGCTCTTCAGCGACACCTTGTTTCCCAATTGTTAATTACAGTCTGGTGCCATATTTGCAATGTCACCATACGGGGACTCCACTTAATAATGCCATAGAGTTGGGTCTGCCACTCTGCTTCTGTCTCTTGTTGAGATGGGTGTAGTGGTTAGGGTGCTAGCCTGGAGCACCGGGTTCAATTTCTTGCCCTGCTGCAAACTTCCTGTGTGAACTTAGTGTCTGTGCGTCTCAACTCCCCATCTGTGAAATGGGGACCAGGGCACTTCCCTAACTCCCAGGGATGTTGGGAGGATAAATTGATTAAAGCTTGTGAGGCGTTATGGTGCAGGGGCAACATGAGTACCACGGAGAGATTAATCCTGTTCTTGTGGTACTGCTTCACCTCAGCATTAGTGGTGAGAAACAAAGAAAACCTTAATAGAATTAATGCCAGAAAGATAAAGCTGGCAGTGAAAAGCCTGAACAAAAATATCTTCCTTTCACAAATTTCTAAATGATGCCAGACTGAGGCTTAGTTCTAATTCTGTCAGGAATGAACTCAACAGTAAGATAAGGTAAAAGGGAGGCAAAGGGTAATTTGGGTATAAGCAATGAGGCAATCCATCATAATAGGAGAGAGCTGAGAAGTAGGACTACCTGAAGTAACTTATTGTTTTAGGAGAACGGTTTAGACCATCTGCTGTAGGCCAGTCTATTCACTATTCATTTTCCTCTCACTTATGTCAGGGCAAATCAGAAATAATCCTGTGAAATCAATGGAGTTACACCAGAGTATAAACAGTTGCAAGGTATGAAATATGCTCATCTGACTTGGTTACAACACACACACACAGCTTTTTTCACAGTACAACCCGGTTTGTCTGATTACAACAATGCATTCAGGGAAAATCTGGTCAGCTATCCCCATACTGCCTCAGCAGGGAATAGAATATCCAGCAGACATTCAGAATGGCACCAGCAACACATGAAACAGAGAACGCTGGGATTTCCCACTGCACAGAAAGCTCAGCACAAGGAGGACTGTTTATCGTGGTTACATAGAGCTGGTGAAGGGGTCCTGTTTATACAGCACGTAACAATATTGCAGCCTGCTACATGAAGACAACCATATACTAGGCCAGGCCAATGACAAAAGCAACTCCTGGTTAGCTGCCATGGTAACTACTCAAGTTGGGTGATAACCCTAACCATGCTTAGAGCTAACCAGGTCACTAACTTATCAGCTTGGTTACAAACTACAGGGTTTGATTCTCTACAGCCTGGCATTTAATGTAATTATTTATGCTAGTGCAAGGCAACGTAGGTGTAAAGCACAATCATGCTGATTGGGAAGCATTTTACACCCACTTCACTCAGGAATAAATGCCTACACAAGGACCCATGCAGTGGAGATTCAAGCCCAGAGAGCAGACAAGGACGTAATTACCTAGTTCTCTGGGTGGTTTTGTTTATATATTGAGTATATTATCATCATTTAGGCAAGGAACAGGAAGAGATACAGGCAACACAGATAAAGGATGTCATTAGTAAACATTGGATTAAGGTGCCTCTTCGCAACATACAGTTATAAGGCTCCAGGGCCTAGTT